ATGTTCGAGGAAGATCCAGCCGTGGCGGCGAAGACTCTCCAGGACCAGCAGCAACAATTGCCGGTATCCACGATCCAACTTTTAATCAAAAATGCAAAGATGAACATTTCATTATCAGAGTGAGGGGGGCGAACGGTCATTCATTGTCCCTGAGTGCGTGGCTGAAATGGGGATCCGTGGCTAAGATTATGCTTGTTGCGTTGCTGCTGTTGTTGATGTTGTTGATGTTGCTGTTGCTGTTGTTATTGTTATTGGTATTGTTGTTGTTGTTGTTGTTGTTGTTGTTGTTGTTGTTGTTGTTGTTGTTTCTGTTGTGGTTGTTGCTAATTTTGTTATTGATATTGTTGGAATTGATGTTGCTGTTGTTGTTGACCTCTCACTTCAGATGCATAATTTTTGTTGGTCCCCCGCCGCCCGGTGCACATTGTTTTTTCAATTGAAGTACCCCTCCCGGGGCTCACACCCTGTCGTTCTTGATCAGGGAAAGTACTGAGGCTCAAACTGTGCCGTTGGTCCCCGGTTTACAACAACAACGGCTCCCGCCTGACACCTCCTCACGATTTATCGAAACATCGCGATCTCGCTTGGGACTTCCTGGCAATGCACTACCGAATCGCGTCTCCCGCTTGATACTCCGTGACAATGTATTGCAGAATCGCGCTCTTGCTTTGGGTTTTCTCGCAGCTTGCCACAGAAAAACGTTTCGCTTGATATTTCCTCGCAATTTATTCAGATGCCGGTCCTCGAGACTCAGGAATCGCGCTCCCGCTACATATTGCCTGGCGGTTCCAGCAAGACCCCTTCAACGACCCGCCCGCTCGACCCGCCCGTCGGGGCCTGCCCGCCCGACCACCCGTTAATGACTGCAGTCGCCGCTCGCTGCCCGTTGCCCTTCGCCCGCCTTCGATGCCCCTTGGTGCCCGTACTGGTTCCGCGGTCGCCCTCGCTCGCTGCCCTTCATGGACCTGTTGCTGCCCTCAGTGGTTCCGTCGCTGCCCTTTGCGGCCCCGTATTATATGCCCTTCGTGGCCCCCGCTCGCACGCGCCCGTCGTGGCACCATACGCATGCCCTTCGTAGCTCCGCTGTCGCCCTTCGTGGCCCCCTCGCTGCCCTTCGTGGCACTTTTGCTGCCCTCAGTGGCCCCGCTGTCGCCCTTTGTGGCCCCGTATACGAATGCCCTTCGTGGCCCCCGCTCGCTCGCGCCCGTCGTGGCCCCATATGCACGCCCTTCGTGGCTCCGCTGTCGCCCTTCGTGCCCCCCCTCGCTGCCCTTCGTGGCCCCGGTGCTGTCCTCAGCGGCCCTGTCGCTGCCCTCTGTGGCCTCGGATTGTATGCCCTTCGTGGCCCACGCTGTTTTTTCTCACGATTTACTCAGGAATCGCTATCATGCGAGACTTCCTCGCGAATCATGCAGGACCCTCGCTTCAGCAACCCGCCTGCTCGACCTCGTCGCCTGGGCCCGCTTTCCCGACCTGCCCGCTATAGGTCTGCCCACCCGATCTGCCCGTCTGGTTCTACAACTCGTTTTCTGCTCCTTGCCCCCCTCCTGCAAATTTCTCTCGTGCTCCATTATTCTCCGTTCCCCTTCCACCCGTCCTCTCTTCCCTTGTTTTAGGGGCTGCACTAAATACACGTGGCAGGTAAGGAAGATAGACCCCCAAGGGGGTACGATCGAAGACGACGAGGGCGGGTACCGAGGTTTTGGGATCTAACGTGAGCAGATAGGAGCGAAGAGTCTTAAAAGGATTGTTGTTGATGTGATTGTTGTTGATGTTGTTGTTGTTGATGTTGTTGTTGTTGTTATTATTATTGTTGTTGTTGTTGTTGTTGTTGTTGTTGTTGTCGTTGTCGTTATCGTTGTCGTCGTTGTTTGTTGTCGTCGTCCCACCCGCTCCCCACCCCGCTCCCCACCCGCTCCCCACCCGCGACCCACCCCGCGACCCAACAACGAACCCCCGCAACCCCCCCGTGACCCACCCGCGACGCACCCCGCGACCCACCCGCGACCCACCCCGCGACACATCCGCGACCCACCCGCGATCCACCCGCGACCCACGTGCGACCCACCCACGACCCACCCCGCGACCCACCCGCGACCCACCCGCGACCCAACAGCGACCCAGCCGCGACCCAGCCGCGACCCACCCGCGATCCATTTGCGACCTCCCGCGACCCACCCGCGACCCACCCGCATTGGTTTCACGAAACACCGGCGCCCGCGGCGGGCTCGTTGCACAAATTGTGAACCTTTGGCGCCTGCGGCGGGCTTTCCCAGACGTCCCCGCCGCCACCTCACTCGTGTCCGCATCCGCGGGGTGCTACGCATCATTCGCGACGAACCCCCCTCCCTGGTCACGCCACGATTCGCGCTGGCGCCGTCTGGGAATGAGCCATTACCAGGCTTTCCTGGACGGCGCCGGCGCGAACCGTGACGTGATCGGCCCTCTCGCCGCCTCGAAACCGTCGCCAGGGGTTGAAGACAAGGGTCTCCTCGCTGGCCCCCCCTCCTCTTCGTCCTGCTGTCCTCCCCTCCCTTCACTTTACAATTACTCAATATGAATACTACTCTCGCTCTTCCCCTGATGACGGTTTGAAAGTGCTCGACCTCCCCCCTCGTACTGCTTTTTTACACGCAGGTTTCCCCGGAGTTGGGTTTTCGCTTGCATTTGTTTCCAAAATGCTGCTCTCGCTGAGGCGCCGGCCTCATTTTCGGGCCCCGCTCGTTCCGAATCGTGCTCCCGCTGCAGCGCTGGCCTCATTTCCGTGCTTCCGCTCGTTTCGACTCGCGCTCCCGCTAGCGTGCCATGCCACGGCATGCAATGCAATGCTAGGTTGATACTACGCTTTGCGGTGCTCTTCTACGCCATGCCATGCCGTGCTCGACAATGCATCGCGTACCCTTTCGGGATCATTGCCCTGCTCGACATCCGACTGTGCGAGTAGAGAAGGGATCTGCGCCATGGTAAGGGATGGGAGGGAGGGGTAGGATGTCAGATATGACGCGAGCGCACCTAGCTTGGCGTCCCCCCTCTCTTCGTCCTCGCTGGCCCCCCTCCCCTCCCTTCACTCCGCGCCCCCCCGCGCGCGCGGGTCCCGCCCGCGCACGCACGCTTCTGGGCCGCGGGCGCTCGAGCCCGCTCTCCGCCCGGATTCGCGTGCAGGCTGGGTGCCCGAGGTCTCCGGCGCTCCGGGAGCGGAGGAGGAGGAGGAGGAGGAGGAGGAGGGGGAGGGAGGGGGAGGAGGAGGAGGAGGAGGAGGAGGAGGAGGAGGAGGAGGAGCAGGAGCAGGAGGAGAAGAGGAGGAGGAGGAGGAGGAGCGGAGCGTGAGGAGGAACAACTGGGGGGGTCGTCGCAACAGCGAGTAAAAAGGCGACTGGGCTGGGGTGTGCCGCAGGAAGCCCGACTGCGCGGGATTGGGCGGCATCGGGCTGACCTTCGGCCACGGGCGCGCGGGCGCCGGTGCGGCAGTCGACCTCCCAGAGGTTGCAACCAAGGGGGCGTGGAGTCAAGGCTGGAGGACTGGCAGAGGCGGGGCAGAGGCGGGCGCCAGAGGCAGAAGCAGCCTGGGGGGGTGCAAGTTGAGCAGAGACCGACAGTCCCGGCAGTACTATAGGCCCACCACCAAAAGCTCTTAGAACAACGAGTGTTCAAATCCGCCGACCCTGTCGGAGTGTGTGAGGGGCTTCTCCGTTCGAATCGTCGTCTCCGTCGTCTCCTCGTCGTCTCCGTCGTCGTCACAGCCGTCTCCTAACCGTCTCCGTCGTCCCCCGTCCCTTTCCCTGGGCCCTCCTCCTTAAGCGCGCCACCCAAAGCAAAACTGAACAACGTCGAGAGTCGAAGGGCAGCCACTTTCCTTTGATCACTTCCCCGCGGGGGAGGGGGGGGTCCCCGGGAGGTCCCTGGGGGGGGGGGGCCGCCACCCAGAAGCGTTTCCCCCTCGGGCGGCCCCGAAACCTGGAAAAGTCCCAAGATGGCCCAAGAGGGACCCGAGTCGCCCAAAGATCGGACCAGGACGCCCAAGATGGCCCCAAGACGGTCCAAGAAGCTGCCAAGACGTCCCAGGAAGTCTCCAAGAGCACCCCCAAGAAGGCCCCAAGAGGCCACAATCATTGATTTTCCAAAAAAGAAAACGTACACTTTAGCATATACGAGGTTTCGGCCTTCATGGCGTGGAAGACGGTCCAAGAGGCCCCCAAGATAGCCTCAAGATGGCTCAAGAAACTCCCAAGAGGCGCCCAACACGGCCCAAGAGGGCCCCAAGAAGGGCCCAAGACGGGGAGCCCAAACCAAAAATCCGAGCCTTCCGCAAGAGGCCCCCCAAAGGCCCCAGGAGACTCCCAAGAGGCCCCCAAGAGGCCCCCAAGAGCCCCAAAAGAGGCTCCAAGAGGCGCCCAAACGGCCCCCTCCTCCTCCTCCTCCTCCTCCTCCTCCTCCTCCTCCTCCTCCTCCCCTTGCTCCCCCCCCCTCTTGCTCCTCCTCTGCCTCCCCCTCCTCCTGCTCCTTCTGCCCCTCGTTGTCATCTTCGTCATCTTCAGGGTCGGCGGCACCGGTCGTAAGGTCTTCGCAATAACGAAAGCATGTTTAGAGCATTAGCCCGATATGCAAAACAAAAAACCAGGCCCAGTCAGAAATGTTACAAGAACATCGGGTGCAGACCACAAAGGTTCTAAGAACGTTCTTTGGTGGGCCCATAGGCAAGCCAAGACGCTTCGCCACTGCTCGAGAGAGGCGGAGGCGAGAGAGGCATCTGGCGCGTGCTCGCGCGCTCGAGGTTGAGGACCGAGCACGGGGAGGACGAGGAGGCTCAAGGCTGAAGGACGACGCAGAGGCGGGCGCCATAGGCAAAGGCAGCCTGGAGTGGGGGGGTGCGAGAGGCGGATGCGACGGAAGCATCCCGCGCAAGCTCGGGCGCTCGAGGCTGAAGACCGGGCACGGGGAGGACGAGGTTGCTCTCGGGGCAGAGGGGCCCGGGCCTGGCAGGGGCGGGGACGGGGGGCCTAAGGCGGAGGTGGTGGCAAGGGCACCCTCGGATGCAGGCGGGCACAGCGGGGACGAGAGAATCGGCTGCATGCACGAGTGACCCTTATGAGACGAAGCCAGGACGAAGACCAAGTCGGGTGAGGATCAAAAGGGAATCCTGAGATCCGCTGGCTCTGGAGGATGCATCGGGCGCCACGGCCTCCTCAGAGCGCTGGCAACGCTCAGAGAGCGTTCGGGAACGCTCTGGAACGGACTCCTCCTCGTCCTGGCCCCGTCCGACCTTGGCCCTTGGCAAGGGGTGACCTCTGCTGCGCGGCCTCCGGGAGCCGCGGCGGGGCGAGGTCCAGGCGAGCGGGCGGGCTCTGGAGGAGAAGGAGGAGTAGGAGGAGGGAGGAGGAGGAGGGAGGAGGAGGAGGAGGAGGAGGAGGAAGAGGAGGAGGAGGAGGGAGAAGGAGGAGGAGGGAAAGGAGCAGGCAAGCCAGCACCAGAGGCCACTCCGGCGAAGGGACACTCCGGCGCGCAGCCGCGAGGGCAGCGCGGGCAGCTTGACACTCTCGGTCGTGCATGGTGCGGGCGCCCGCCTGCGGGGCCGGCGCAGACAGAGCGGCGGCCTCGGCAGGACAGCACCAACTGGGGGCGGGCGCGGCGATTCCGGAAGCGCGTCGGGGAGCCGAGGACGAAGGAGGAGGAGGAAAAACAGAAGGAGAAGCACGATGATACTAATAATAAAAATAATAATACATAACTACATAAAGAAAGAAAGAAAGATAATAAAGATCATAATAATAATACTACTAATAATAATAATTAAAAGCAAGAGAAGAACAACCAAAACGGATGAGGAGGAGGTGGAAGGTCCGCGAAGGGGGGACCGGAGCCGGCGAGCTCTGTGGTCAGCATGAGCAAACCTAACGCGTGCCCTTGTGTCCCTGCCCACGGGCCGTGTATCCTCGCCCTCTCGTGCGCGCGCGACACGTGGAGGATGAGGCAAGACTATGATTGTCTGCCCTGCTTTGCTCAACAAGCATACGCTTCCTTGCCAAGCCTGCATACCGTCAGCATTCCTAAGCATGCCTCTTATCCTTTTGGCCTCCCTTCGCTCCAAGGTGCCTGAGCGTACGCCATAGCGTCGCACCTCTACACCTCCATCAATGCTTACACCGTTTATTGGCATCATCTTTCTGGAGCGAAGCGACCATGAGCATCCCCCTCACCGATTTTGATGTTTGGTCCTGGATCGAAGATTCACGGCCCCCCTTGCCCAGAAGGGATGGGTTCCAAGGCTCACATGACCCCCCCCAGTTGGATTGGGAGGGGCTAACGACGACGACGACGTCGACGACGGAAGACTACGGAGACGACGACGACGAAGAGTCTGCGCTAACCAGCCTTGACTGGATTTGTTTACCTGGTTTCCTTACTGCTTTTAGGTCCTTCCTCGAGTTGCTTGGTCTTGTTCCGCCAGTGTGTGTGTGTGTGTGAAGAGGCCATTCTCGGGTTGCCAGGTACGTTTCCGTACTGTGTTTGAAGAGCCCTCCCTCAGATTGCACGGTCGTGATTCCTGTCCGTCTTTACCAGGCCCGCCTCGGGTTGCTTGGTTGTCTCTCCTTACTGCATTATTCGGGTTGCCGGGTCCTGTTTCCTAGTAGTACCAAGCAACGCCAAGTAATGCAAAGCAGCGCCAATCAATGCCAAGTAACGCCACGCAACTCCTAGCAATGCAACGTAACGTCAAGTAACGTCAAGCAGCGCCAAACAATGCCAAGCAGTGCCAAGCAGTGCTGAGCAACGCCAAGCGAAGCCAGTTTAGGCCAAGCAGCGCCAAGCAATGTCAAGCAACGCAAGGCAATGCAGGGCAATGCTCAGGCATCGTCCAACAATGCCAAGCAACGCCAAGCAATGAGACTCAACGCCAAGCAATGTAAAGCAACGCCAAGTTATGCAAAACAATGCAAACAATTGACATGTCAAGCAACTCCAACTAATGCCAAGCAATGCTGCTTAGGAACCGTTTCCCTAATTGGGGTCGCGGCGGATTCATCCGAACCGACTGCGGGAATCGATGCCCAGACTTCAGTAGCCGAGCCGAAGGTCAGTCGAGACCCTGGTGCTCTGTTCACCCTGACATGATGCTTTATTGTGCCAGACTGGCCCAACACATCTTTGCATACGGAAGCTAGCCCAGACTACGAATCTCCGCATCAGCGCCCGCCAGAATTAACACTTTCCTGCCACTCCCATTCCTTACCAATGCACGCCCAGCGTTACAACCCACAGCCTAGCCAAGCATCCAAATGCTCGCGCTGCGTGGTCCCACGTGCCCTTACATTGGCCCTTACAAGCGGCAAAGCGTCCCGCTGAAATTTCACGACTCAAACCTCCGACTGATGACATATTCTTCCAACATCAGTGCCCCAAAGCAGTCCGAGCTTCCGCCCACATCGACTCCTACACTTTCGGATGTTCCTTTGGTTAGCATTTCATATCTTGGCAGCGGTTGCTCATCCTCCGCCTCGTCGCACGTCGTGCTCACTCCAAACCCGAGCCGGCCTGTCGACTTTGCCGCCGCTCCTTGCCTCTTTTCCAGACCCTGCGAGCGAATGCACGCGTTTCGTTGCTGGCTAGATCGCCTAAGTCGGTGTTGCTTGCTCACAGGCGCTTAGAGCACATAGCTTAGCCCGAGCAACGCCAAGAGGAGGAGGAGGAGGAGGAGGAGGAGGAGGAGGAGGAGGAGGAGGAGGAGGAGGAGAAGGGGCGGGCCTCCAAGGATTACGCGGTAACCCAAAACGAGACCTCGGCACCGCTCCTTCGTGGCACACGGGTACCGGGCAAGCGCTAGAGCTGAGGTTAAGTGCAGTGTGGAGGAGGCGTACTCTGTCTATACGAAGCAGCTGCTGGGAGAACTTTGCAATAATGGCTAACAGCTGAAACGACCGACAAAGGGTCACTGAGCCGGATCAGGCTGGATTAGATCTGATAGAGATCTGATAAATGTCATTAGCCCGCTTGCATGGAATAAATAAGAAATGCGAGGTCATGTCAGATTGGGTCTATTTTCGACCACGGGTATCCGCCACCGCGCTTGCAGCGGTTGGTGTGTGTGTGTGTGTGTGTGTGTGTGTGTGTGTGTGTCGGTCCCCTTCGCCGTTTTCGAAACAATACAGATCGCCCCCCAACGCATCAAGCCCAAGTTCGCTTGTGCGGCCACGTCCCTGCGTTCCTGGCCCTTCAAGCAGGAGAGGGATCCGAAATAAAAAAGCCTGTGGCAAGGGAATTCCGTGTACCCTCCCTCCTCCCCCCCCAAGGCGGCCCACCCACATCCCGCCCGAGCGCGGTGGGGGAATCGCGCGGCAGCGCAACTGGATACCAGCGCCGATGCTGAATGAACTTTTCAGGAGTTGCATTCGAACGTGGAGGTGCAGCAAAGGGGAGGAGAGGAGGGTTTAAACAATCAGCAGAACAGCAGGCTGACACACTGCAGTGGGCGCCGTAGATTAGCTATCATTTTCCGTTGGGCGGGGCAGCCCGCGAGCTCAGGAGACTGTGCAGGGGGCCTGCGGGGCAGCGGGATAACACCAACGAGAAGCTCCAGATTGCAGACCGTGGCGAGGGCGAGCAAAAACAGCCAACTCCGACGACGACGACGCTGAGAGCAGCGGCGGTGAGGACATCGACGGCAGCACCAGAGCGTATGACATCAGTGCGTCAACAGGGATGCCAACTGGCGATGGTATCGACTGGCGGCGGGGATTCCGTCGGCGACAGCGGCGGCGGCAGCGAACGATGATGATGATGAGGCCTGTCCCAACGAAGATTGTGCAAACACCACGTGAGCTGATTGTTTCCTAGCCATTATGTGGTTTCGGGTCCTCGTTTTGAACAGGCAGTGCCGTCACCTTACATCCCACCTCCCTGCCCCGCTTCTGCCCTCCGCATGTCCATTTAGGCACAACCCTCTTCCACAGCCCGTCACATGGAGCTCCAAAGGAGGCCCCTGGGGGGGTGACCACACGCGGTCCCCCAGCCAGTTCGGCACACCCCTCACACGCTTCGTGGATTCACAAGGAGCTCCAAAGGAGGCCCCTGGGGGGGTGACCACACGCGGTCCCCCAGCCAGTTCGGCACACCCCTCACACGCTTCGTGGCCGCAAAGGAAGCTCCAACTAAGGCCCCATGGGGGGTAATGCGGTCCACCAGCCCGTGTCAGCACGCTCCTCAAAGGTTTCTTGCCCCATAGAGGAGCTCCTACTGAAGCCCAGTGGAGTAGCTCGCTTGCGTCCCCAGGCCAATTTTCGAAAGCCCCCTCACACGCTTCGTGGCCCCATAGCTGGCGGCACGCACAATGGGGATAGAGAGATGGAGGGGGGGAAGGCTTCTCAGAAGGCGGCTGCCTATTAGAAGGCGACGGCCGCCCGTCTAAGAAGCCAGGGGCGCGCAGCTTCTTAGAAGCACCCCAACAGCTTCTGCGAAGCACGGAACTGCTTCTTAGAAGCAACAACAGCTTCTTGGAAGCACCCACCTGCTTATTAGAAGCACGCCAGGAACAGCTTCTCAGAAGCAACCGCAGATTTCTTAGAAGGGGCACCCGCATCTTCTGAGGAGGGGGGTGCTTCTAATTACTAAGATGCCTTCCTCCCCCCGACACCCCCCTCTGCGCGTGATTGATATAGGGAGCTCCACCAAAGGCCCCAGTGGAAGCGCCCGCACGCGTCCCCAGGCCACTTCCATCACACCCCTTACACGATTCGAGGCCCCACAGGAAACCCCACCGAACGCCTCAATGGCAACAACCGCCCGCGTCCCCCAAGCCTATTCTGGCACACCCCTCACACGTTTCGTTGCCCCATCGTGAGCTCCACCGAATGCCCCCGTAGCAGCGCCCGCATACGCCCCAAGGCGACTTTCGGCACACCGCTCACACGTTTCGTGGCCCTTCGCACTGACGCCGGTATTCGGTATTCGCAAGCGCGGCATTCACAACTGCATATGGCTGGGCCCTTCACCATGGACCATGACTATTTTGCTTGCGCTCCTCCTTCGTACCCCCACGTCTGGGAAATTCAGGAGACCTCCGGAAACATGCGAGAGCAGTGGGAAGCATATGAAATCGTCCGAAAACCTCATGCTCTCCTCCCTTGTCGTCCTCGCCCTTACTCCGGAGATCCTGGCGTCGTGTGTGAGGGCATCCCCCGTGGACAGGGGAAAATGCACCTCACCTTCGCCCCTTCCAAGGCCACGTTCCCTGGCAAGCATCCACATCGCCCTCCCCCCCCCAAGGCCTGGTCCCCTCTGCGGACGAGGAGAACTGCATCTCAAAAGGGGTGTGCAGGGGCGGCGGTCCCGATTCCCCGTGCGTAAGATGGAATGCACCTTGAAGAGGATTAGCGAAGCAGACAACTGCTAGATCTTCGCCCTCGCAGTAAAGGCCGTCACTGCCCCTTGCCTTTGTCCGCCTTCCGCCTGTTGCGCCCATGCTGTTCTCCTCTCAGGGTCGGCAGCACTGGCCGTAAAGCCTGTGCAAGAAAACATTGGATGAAACAGCGGCTTCACGACGGAAGCGAGGATGAAAAGTGAAAAGAGACCAACTGCGGCGACGTCGAGAGCGACGGTGGTCACGACATCGACGACAGCGCTGGCGCGAGTTGCAGTTGGCCAGAGTGGTTACGTGGGGCAAGGGCCGCGAAGGACCGAAACTGGAAGAATCGTCAATCTCCCCTGCTTTCCCTCACTGTGGTTCCCACACGGCGTGCTGTTCGAGTGGGCCGGGAAAACCAAGAGAGAGGCGCACCTCGGCGCTTGCAAGATCGCGTGGCGGCAGCACGACGGAACCCATGTTTCCGCCCATCCCCATTGCTCATGCCCCGCCGCAAGCGCGACGTCCTTTGAGCAGGGACGGGCAGTCACGGCATTCCCATAGTCCTACCACGAGATGTTCTTAGAACCCGAAAATGTCCGAAGAACAAGAACGATGCTCTCAGAACGAGAACCCGATGTGTTAAAACAAGACAGTCTCAACCAGAAATGCTTTCAGAGCACTGTTTGGTAGGGCTATAGGCGAGCCAGGAGGCTTCGCCACTGCTTGAGTCCTCGAGCCCCCCCTCATCAAGCTCATCGGCTGCCCTCAGAAGCAGGGCTTTGGACGCCCGGAATGGGTACGGAAAGCATGGGTACAAGGCCCAACAACACATGTTGTCCCAAACCAACAGCGGCCGCTGTTGGGCGGGCGGCCTTCTGTCTCGAATGGACACAGGCCGCGGCGGCGCGGACAGCGAGTCCTGTTCAAAGTGGACAGGGACTGCTGTTGGGCATTGTACCCACTCTTTCCGTGCCCACCTCGGACGTCCAGAAGCGCGGCCAAGGGCGCCGAGCCCGGCTGGCAGCGCCGGCGTCGGGCGGCTAGGGGGCGGGGGGGGCGGCAAAGGCCACGCCCGGGGGCCGCGACTGCAGCGCCTGGGGCGCCGCCGAGCCGGCAGAGGGCCCCTTCTTGCGGGAGAGGTGTGCAGCGCCGAGGCTTGGCGCCGCGAGTGCGGGCGGAGGAGGGCGGAGAGCGAGGAGGGGAGAGAGGTGACGGAGAGGCTTTCGGCCCCCGGATGTCTCCATGCGCTTTCCGGAGCACTCGGGTGCTCGGGTGCCCCCGGAGACTTCGAACGGGTTCTGGCGAGAGGGGCAGGCAAAAGAGGATGGGGACGCGGACGGGGAGGAGAAGAGAGAGCTGCGCCACACACTCCCGCGCACGTTGCACACCTCCCCCAGACCTTCGCCTGCCTCCTGGCCCGCATGGTCAGGAAGGACAGGGGTACGGTGAGCACCACGAAGGCCAGGAACGCGGTCACGAGAATGACCAGGATACCCCTGCCGACCCAGAGCCTTTCGAAGTCCTCCTCCACGTCGCCCACGCCCCACTGGACGAGCACGGGGTCGTCACCCAGCATCAGGCCGAAGTGATCGCTCGCGGCCTGGACGGCTTGCATGTAAGGAAAGCGCGACACGTCCTCAACGCCCTGCTCGGCGGAGTCGCGCAAAACCAGTCCGGTCGTCGCGTGGATGCTCAAGTTCGCGGCACCGCAGGTGAAGTTGCCGATGTTCGGCGGCGAGCCCAGAAGGGGGAAGTGCGAGGGAGTAGGCCCAGGCGAGAAGCCTCACAAGCCCTCGCCGAAGCCGCAGACGGCTTCTCAGAAGGCGCGAGAGCTTCTGAGGAGGAGGATGAGGAGGAGGAGGAGGAGGAGGAGGAGGAGGAGGAGATCAAGGCGATCTTGGCCCCCTCCCCCCCAGAACGCTCCCGGCGAGGCGCCGCCGCGGGAATGCATCCTGAAGCTGAAGGGCCACCGAGAACCGACCAAACCGCCGGAAGACCTGCACCCTCGAGCCCGAAACTCCCCCCCCTCCTCCTCCTCCTCCTCCTCTTCCTCCTCCTCCTCCTCATCCTCATCCTCCTCCTCCTCCTCTTCCTCCTCCTCCTCCTCCTCCTCCTCTTCCTCCTCCTCCTCCTCCTCATCCCCCCCTGGGCTCGCCGCCGAGATGTCTCCGCAGCAGTCCTCCCCCACCGCCCAGAAGTCCGTGCGCGCGGGCGCGCTCGGGGAGCCCAGGTCGCAGCTGTCCGCCGTGCAGCCGCAGGCGCCGCTGCCGGCGCAGTCGCTGCTCATGATCGGCGCGGCGCAATAGATCGTGCCGTCGTACTCGAAGCCGAAGGACTGATTCACGCTGATACCTGGAGGGCCAGAGCATCGTCAGGCGGCGAGCCAGGGGGGGAAGTGAGAAGGGGCGGGCCTTCTCAGAAGGCTCGGAAGTCACCCAGGCCTTCTGAGAAGTTTTCTAAGCATTCCCCGAAGACAGAAAAAAAACTTATCAGAAGGCGCGAGGGCTTCTGAGAAATCCCGCCGCCTTCTGAGAGGGCCTTCTCCTTCTCAATTTCCCCCCCTCGCTCGCCGCCGAAATGAGCGCAACTTTCCGGAGCTCCGCACGGATTTCTAGCGGTCGGCGCTGAGCCCCCCCCCTGTGGCTGTGGCGGCGCCTCCAGCGCCGCCCCCATGGCGAACTCTGCGCGGAGCTCCGGAAGTTACCTGTCGTGTAGGCTTTATTTTCTCGGCGATACCAGAGTCCGACGAAAAACGCATCTTGCCCGCGTCTGCGTACTCTACCGCCCTTCTGTCTGGGACCACGTTGATGTAGAAATGGTGCGTCTGCGCCGAGCAGAAGTGGAACGTGTTGGCGAAGTAGTTCCGCCGGCCGATGTATGTGCCGATGGCTGCGCAAACCAGTGTTACGAGGCCGTAGATCCAGGTCTGGTCCGAAAGCATGAGCGAGAGGACCAGAAACACGACGACGCCAACAAATATTGTGGCGAGGGCCGTACCAAATTTGTAGCAGTAAACCCACGACCATAAGATGACGGACGACATCACCACAAGGTACGGTATAACGAAGCCCAGCACGCACACCTCAGCAGATCAAGCAGCCAAAAGAACAAGACCCTGGCTGGGGTATGGGGCGCGGGGGGAATAGTCAGATTGGTGCGCACCACGGGAAACCCTAAGGTGCTCCCGTCTGCATGCTAATGCGCGCACTCGGAAAAGACATTTGCCACCCACTCCCCGTGCATGGAGGAGGATACAGGGAAAAACGACTAATAATAATACTAATAATAATAAGAAGAAGAAGAAAAACAAAAAACACGACACCATATACACACATAGATGCTAATCATCCAGGCGAAGGGCTCAACCATATGCAGTTGTATCGTCATTGTGGGTACCGCCTTCGGTAGATCTCCATGTGGCCACGAAGCGTGGAAAGCGTGTGCCGACATGGGGAGGGGACGCATGCG